AAATTGCAGGATTGAGGCCTTAATTGTACAAAGTGCATGGCAACAGCAAATTTAACCCAGTATCTCATACTGGGTTTTCCATTTGACAGGAGGTAGAGACACTCACTTCTATTCATCCAATCGCTGATGCCAGTACTTATACCTTTCAAATCAGAGTACTCCTAATCATAGGCATTTACTCCATCCTCCACACAGCTACTGTTTGCAAACCACCTCCACCAAAAACTTGTATTAATTTGTGAGCTTGCAGTGTACTGAAACATGAACAGGTTCTCAACAAGTTAAGTACCACACCCACTCCCTGATAAAAGAGCACAAATTAATCAAGGCATATTTAAAACATGGTATTTGACTAGAATTTCAATACTTTCCAGAAGAGAATACCTTCCATACTCAAAATCCAAGGGAACAGCAAACGGTGAACACTTGTATTAATTTGTGAGCTTGCAGTGTACTGAAACATGAACAGGTTCTCAACAAGTTAAGTACCACACCCACTCCCTGATAAAAGAGCACAAATTAATCAAGGCATATTTAAAACATGGTATTTGACTAGAATTTCAATACTTTCCAGAAGAGAATACCTTCCATACTCAAAATCCAAGGGAACAGCAAACGGTGAACCACCCTCTCCTTATTAGCCTGTCCATCTTGCAGTGCCAGCATTAAGCTCTCATCCATATTTAAAGGCCATGAAAACATTAAACGGCCATAAACAGCACTTAATTCAAGTTGAGAGACTGAAAAAAGAGTTGTGTTTATTTAATACAAAGGATATTATGCTCTATAAACTGAGCATTACATACACAGATGTACTTGCAACCAAGTAGCTCCTATGTAAACAATACACACAGACTAGATATCCATTGCTTTGTGACTGTCTGAACATTCAGAGATTAAACTTAGTAATAACTAAGAAAACAGTTCCAGTCAGAATGACCCCAAAATTAGAAGCAAATAATGAATTAGCACATTATAATAAAGAGTTGGAAAAATTATTAATTTGTTCTCTTTTAACAAGACAAACTAATCTCCAAGGACAATTTTTACTTTCAGATATACATGGGTATTGATTTCAATACACGCTGTATAACCAGGGACTACAGTTTAGGTGTTAACTAAATATATAGTCACCAAATTGTTGTTTTGATTCATCATTTGTGATGCAAAAGATATACAAAACACAATTAAAAAAATTGTCTAGTTATGTCCCTACCTAACAAACATAAATAAAACCTAAAGGAATATAAAAAACTAGTTCACTTTTCTCTTTTTTGACTTAGCTGAAGTTTTCACTTTACGTTCATTTTCAGGAGCTGGTTCCCATAATGCATTTCTTACAAATCTTGCTGCAGCTCCTTTATCTAGTTTAGATGCCATTTTCTTGTCTGTTATTTCTTTGACCCTGTTCATATACGTTCTTATTCTCTCCTGAAAGATACCAAATGAAAAGCACAACTGATATTATTCTGTGAAGTACTATTAAAATACAAATCAGTAAGAACAAAGCATATGGAACATCATGCATTCCACAACATGCAGCAGAATAAAATATTTCATCTCTGTTTGAACGCTAGTGGATTCTTTGCAAACTCAAGACTGCTTTTAGCAGATTTTCTGCAACACATGGTAATTATACTGGGAAGTGTATGAGGCTGTAAGTGATATAATTTCAAACATATTTTTGTATACAGGTATATGTATGGTCCTCATTCCTATAGCATTTTGCCTAATGGTATTACAAGTTACAACCTATGGACCTACTCTTCCAACCCTTAAAAAGGTTATACACCCACAGAAGTTGATAGGAATTTTGCCTAAGTAAAGTCTGCAAAATTAAGCCATACGTGCTTTATATAAATATAAAATATATATCTGCTGAAATTCAAAATGTCACCAACCTATTAATCTGACCAATCATACCAAAAAAAGCATGACTTTTTTTTTTTTAAAGAAACTCTTGATTATTCTGTGATGTGTATCTTATACAAACAGAGAGAAAGGATGGTCCTGTGGGATTTAAGACACCTAATTCAATTGCCAGCTCTCCCACAGGTATACAGTGAGACCTTAGAAAACTAGTTAATGAACAGCCCTTAGGTAGCACTTTACATATTCCCTAAATTATAGATATTAAATAAATAAAATACATGCATTTTTGTACATAGATAACACATATATCCAGGGCTTGTCAAGTGCATGGCCCCGCTGGGCTAAAATCTACTCGCCAGAGGCGAATAGATTGCCTAGTTTGTCGAGCCCTGCATATATCAACATACGCACATAGCCCACATTTTCTATCTTGCGTACCTAAAGTCAGATAACTAAATTTACCAGTTTTACAAGGATGATCAGAACCCACGTTTCAAACTGATCTTCGAAAACATTAGCCAACCTTTCCAGGTAAAAGATGTAGCTTTAACTAGTTAAGCTGTACCGGGTATGCATTTATAGTGCACTATAATATTTCTCTAGCACGATTGAGATTGCTAATCAGAACAGATGGCATCCTTACATATATCAGCAAGGGAAAAAAGAAGTTGACAGAAACATCTCAACAAAGTGACAGGGGAAATGAACTCTGACAGCTGGAATTAGAGTTTCATTAATATCATTTGAATCCCTGCGTATTGCCTATAAGTACATGCTGAGCAGAGTTCTAGTAAACAAAACAAATGGTGGGAGAGTAACTGTTTCTGATTGCCCTTTTCATGTGAGCGATAAGAATATCACATTAATTCTTGACAAAAGAAATATTTATTGATTCTCATTGTTATTTGTAAAAAGAGACTGGATGAGCATACATAATAATGTACACAAGTAAAAGATATTCATATAGCACCAATCTGTTGTTAACATGGGCATTTCAAATGGCCATAATTATTTCTATTTTTAACGTTAGTATTAGTAATATTATTTCTATTTTTTTTCCAAGCTAAATGATTTGATTTTTTTAAGTCAGCAGAATTTCCAAGATAGCAGACCTTATATACCATACTCATGTATTTAAATGGAATAAAGACAAACCAAAAAGATTTATTATAGGTTGTAAATATGTCACTAATGCAGAATTACTGGACAGTACACATACAATTGGTGCCAAAAAAGCTTTTAGCTTTGTTGCTGAACTGGATTCTTTACTGCTGAGAAAATGAATTAATGGAGGAACAGGAAAAAGGGGGGGCATTTTTCCCGTCTTTGCTAGTAAATCAACCACACTATACTTTTAGTCATACAAGAGAAAGAAAAGGGAGCCTCGGAGATTAACATCATTCCAAGTATTTATAGGAAAAACACTGTACTGGAAACTATAAATTATTAGGCATGTAACATTTTTCTGTTCAACAGATACAGTGAAAAGCTGGTCTGCTCAGAGTCCAATTCTCAAACAAAAGGTGGGAGAAGAGGATGACACCATTTATCTTATTTTGCTTTTCCAATGTTACCAGCCTTGACAACTTTGCTTTCCATGGACGATACTGTTTTGAACTAAAGATACCATGACTTTCTTAAATTTGGCAAGGAAAGCAGCTTGTATCAACAGTTATATAATGCCATGTATACACTACACATCAGTGCATGGATACTGAAATTATGTTTCTAAATGCAAATTTTAAATGATGTAATAACTAGAAGATTTACCCAGTGGTGAGGGCCCTTAACTCAATACATTTTATTTTTCTTAATTTAAATAATTGCTCTGGGATGGGGATGAGGGGGTTCAGTAGCAGGCTGCCTAGAGAGAGAGGACAACCCCAGCCCTCTCTCACCGTGGCATCTTGAGGCCACGTGAGAAGCACCTGTCCCTGGCTGCTGCACAGGCACAGCGGGGGGAAAGGTGCATGTCCCCCAGCGAGGGACAGACACACAAATAGACAAACTCTCTGAAATCTATAGTAGGTAGCTGTCCCTTTTTCTACCCCTGCCCTCTGATGGCCCAATGGGGTTATAGCTGTCTCAGTCCCCTTTCTGGTTCCTTGCTGCTCCCCTGTGATCATTCTACAGTATAACGGTCTCTCCTACCATACCTCTCCCTTTCCATTTTCAAGAGAAAATCAAATTCCTGGCACAACCAAACCCTTATCTTGCTTTAAGATATGATATAAGGAAGCCACACATCAAATTTGGTGGTCCTAGCTCTTACCATTTAGGAGGAGTTCTTGAACATATAGACTCGCAAATGGACAGTCAGACAGACAGATGCACATTTCTAAAATATACAGTAAAGATTACTAATGCATTTTATAAGGGATTCTTACCAGCTCTTGTTTCACTGGATGTTCCTTGGGATTGATTCCTTGAGTGGCCAGGTATACTGCAAGAAAAAAAAAGTGTTCTCTTGAACATGAGGGAAGGAATAATTAAGGTCCCAGTCTTACAACAGGCAATACACAAAGATCCACATGTGATCATTTGCAGGATTAGAGCTTACCTGCTCTGTTTATATATCTAATTTAAAAATATTCTATTCAAGTATTCTAGTAATCTAATATGGTTAACTGAAAAGGAAAGAAAAGGCTGCCAAAATAACCCAAATCCTTATTTACATATCTGTTGCTAGCCTATGTAATTACACATTTTAATTTAGAATTTCAGCATCACTTACCCTAATTTAAGGAAAATAGCAAACTTCAGTTCTTAGAACAACAAAGAATATTGGATAGATATCGGACTGCAGAATATGATTTAAAATTTGCAGCCATAAAAAAGTATTAAAATGGCCCCCAAGCCTCTTTCTCTTAACCTCCTCCAGCATACTTACCCCAAAACATTGAATTTAATGTATATGCAGAAACCAAATCCAATTTTGCTTGTTCAAGAGGGTCCAACTAAAAACAAAAACAAAAACCACCATCATTTGCTGTTGTATTGTTTTTAACTTATAGTAGCTTTCAGTAATATACACAGTACAATTCCATAAGAATATATTTGTGCCAAAGAACCAATGGTGCATGGTTTTTCAATCAATTCCATGCTGTTAATGCAGGCAATTGAGCCACCAAGAGAACTTTAATCATAGAAACTGGAGGTGGAAAATATGTTTCAGGGGCTCGCCTACACTAAAAAATTTACTGCTCTAATTTACTGGGTAAGTTAAATTAATATAGTGTATTATACCAGGATGGCTTATTTCCATAAGGGAAGGGAAATAAGCTATACTAGTATAAAGCACCTGTATACCGATATAACTTAGGGTTGTACTAGTTTAATTTCAGTAGAGCTATCTCACACACAATGGAAATAGTTACATCAAACAAGAACAGCATGTAGACCATGCTAAATTGTCTAAATCTCTCTTTGCAGGATTATTCCCCATTGTATATGTACAGTAATTCCTCATTTTACATGGGCCCAATTAACATGTTTTCACGATAGCACGATTTTTTTTAGGGAACGTTTTTTGAATTACACAACCGTCCCCGGAATAACACGATTTCCCCAGCCGTCACATCGCCGGCAGCTGTGTGGGGCTTCCCCCACCTCCCTGCAAAACGGTGGAGGGTTAGCTGCTCGCTACACCGTTCCCCTCCGAACCCCCCTCGCCGGACGCAGTGCGGTTACTGACACACCCACCACAGGGGCATACTCCCAACTCAATCCCTCTCCCCTCTCCTCCCTTCCTTTCCCCAGAGCCAAACACCTCCCCTCCCTGCTGTAACCCAGTCTCCTTTATCCCCCAATCTTGTGTCCCAGTCCTAACAGACACCACCTCTTGAAATGCAACCCCCACCTTTTCCATTATTTTCAATGGGAAAATTGACCTCACGTAACACGTTTTCACTTAACACGATCATTTTCTGAAACATATCTGTAGTGTTAAATAAGGAATTACTGTATTCACTTTTTATCATTTAATGTCACAGATTATAAAAGATGAATGGGATGGTTGTTAAGAGGTACTGAGCACCTGCTACATTCAGTTCTCAGGATAAAGCTCACATTTCATCTCCAGGATTTCTCAAAATAACTCTACCTAGCCCCCACATAAAACAGCAAAGAATTTTAGAATGCAAGAAAAAATTACTAAAATCCATGTGAAGCTGTAATGGAAGGTTAATATACCACAGAGAACTAATAAACATGAACACTGTACACATTAGATGTGTTCAAGACTTGTTGGAACACTTTAGGCTGTACATTGAGGGGAGAAGAAATGCGTAATGAGATTTATTTTTTGATTGTCAAAGTCAATTTATTGTTATAGTACTATAGGATTTCCAGGAACTCTGATATCATCGTACAGATCACCAATTCTAACGTGGCTACTGTCAAAAGACTGCTGCTGTTAAGAGTAATTTCTTCATTATTTATTTACGTTAGGACTTCTTAGAGGACGAACAAGACTCCTTATGCATGAGCTTTTTTTGCCCTAAAGAAAGAAATTACAAATTCAGTTTTAAGCATTAAAAATATATAGATGCTTGTATGAAGTCCTCTGGCAGTACACCTTGCACCACATGCTGAAAAAAAATGTTTTCTAGGATACCTTAGACCTGCGTTTGATATTGCGGGAAGCAGACTAAGCATTAAGTTCTGCATACCTAGACTTCTTGGAACCAAAAGTCCTAATTCCAGTGTCAACTCCTCCTTCCATTCTTCCTAAATACATAAACTGAGAACAACTGAGTTTACTGGGTGAAGGTCTTTCACATAAAACCACAGAAATATAGTTCCTCTCTCTACTCTTGAGGATATTAAAGATCCTATGAAGGGGATAAGCCTTTACATCCTTGGCCTAAATCACCCTACTGGGTTATTTTTGTATGTGTATCTTGCGTAGCACTTTGGGATGAGCAGTGTTCTATAAACGTAAAAGGTTAATTTAAATACTAATTCTCTGGGGCAGGGACCATCTGTCTGCATAATGCCTAGCACAGGTGGGCCCCAAGCCTGATTGGGTTCCGAAATGCTACTGTAATTCAAAACAACAAGAAAAGGGAGGTGACTGTTCTTTACCTTTTGAAGAAGCTCACTCCTAGAAACAGACATCATAGTCTTCAGCATCTCATCTACAGCACCAAGAGATTTTTCAAATGCCGACAGATAATCATGGATTTCATTTGGGTATTCTTCTCCACTATTATCCTCCTCTGCTATCTCCATCTACAAAGAAACAATTACCATTTTCAATAAATACTTAGTCATAGCAGAATTGTATTTTGAAACGGGGTGGGGGAGTGAATTCATTAATTATTCAATTAGCAGGTGTGTAGTCAATTGGTTCCATTGCAGAAGTAATGTCAACGGTTATATAGCTAATCATATGGTACTTTCAAGTATCTATCCTTAATAAGTGGTGCAAGTAAAATCCATTTTACTGGTACCTAGGTGGGGGAGCACTAGCTAAAGGGGTGGCCATGTGAGCTACACATATGAACCTCTATGGGACTCTGCCCTGTCCCCCATCCAGGGCCCTCATGCTTTTCCCCTCCCCATCCCATGTTACCTGAGTGAAAGGGGTACCGATACAACAGCTGAAGGAGCTGCTCAAAATTCTGCTACTTTCCCCACTGGCCCTGCCAACAGAAAAAGCCCCAGCCTTTCCCCCTGCCCTTCTATACAGCTGCATCTCCTCCAGCAGTCCTGAAAGAGGACAGAGCTGGGGGTTTTGCTACTGTCCTCACTGGAAGGTGCAGGCAGAGCGGGAAGGAGCAGAATGCCAGCAGCCATACCTCTTCCAGCTGCCATAACTTTCCCAGCCTCTCCGTTGCCCCAGCCCTGTTTTCCTGTGGGGCTGCGTTCAGACAGAGCCAAAGGAAAGGCAGCTCTGTGAAAGGACTGGAGATGGTACAGTGTCTTTGCAGTTCAATGAACCAGCTAGAAATGTCTTGCTGGTACAGTATGCTGTACTTGACTGGCCTACCTGCAGTGCTGCCCTTAATGTAGTACAGAATAGCATCAGAATAGCATGAAGGGCCATCGTGAATATCAGTTTTAACATCACATCTTTACACCACACCAAATATTGGCTCTGTAGTTTGACACACAATAATGGAAAGAACTATTTGCCTGTTTAAATAACAAAGGAAGGTACCTTTTAATCATTTTGCAAATAGTGAGTGAACAGCTACACCTACAACTCCCTTTCCTGCACAGCTGCTGGGCTGCATCAACTATTTTGCAAAAGTAAAGCGGGAATGTCTCACATAGACATAGGCCTTCACATAGACATAGGCCTTCTGCAGCATTTTAGCTCCTGCCGTCTCACCACAGAAGTAGGGGAAGCACAGATACCATGAAATCATCACTAAAGCTAGTCAGAAAATTTGCGCTTAGCTTTTTCTGATTTAAAAAAAAACAAAAAACAAAAAAACCCCTATTTCAGCTAAACTGAAAATTTTCACTAAACTGTAGAATTTTCAACATTTCCTGAAAATGAAAAACCGAAGGGAAAAAATGCCTTTTGGCAACTTTTTATTTTGGAAAAATTTGAAGTTGTTTCAGAATTTTGTTTTCTATTTTATTGTATCACTCCCCCTCCCCATTTCACTGTAATACATAATATATAAAATATGAGATCAAATTCCAAAATCCCAAACCAAATTTACTATTTTTCACACATTTTTTTCAAAACAAATTATTTTAAATTATTTTATACATTTGTTCTCTTTCCAGTTTGGAATAAAAAATTTTGGAATGTCAAAATTTCTCACCAAATAGAAATACCATGTTTTGAGCAGCTATAATCATTACTGAAACTATATCTTCACAAGCTGAATTATTCATGAACAATTGTTCCAATGTATAAGGTCCAGTTAAGTTCATCTGTTCACTTCAATTCAGTCCCCTTGTGCATATGTATTATGACAGTCTTTAATTACATGGTCTTGTATTATTTCTTCTAAAGCACCCCCTGTTCATTCAGTTTACAGAATAGATGGTGCTCATGTAATGAACAGTTACAAAATGTTTTGTTTTCTGCTCAGTATTTTCAATGACGACAAACTTTTCCTTACTTATTGCACATACTGCTCTGATTAAAGAATTGTTAACTTTCTTTGTCTTGGCATTTCTTTGGTGCTCATCACTCTAGTATCCAAGCACTTCACAAATATATATTAATGTATTCTCACAAGACTTGTGAGATGAAAGCTATTATTACAGTTGGGGAGTCGGGCCATACTGGGTCAGACCAAAGGTCCATCCAGCCCAGTACCCTGTCTGCCGACAGTGGCCAATGCCAGCTGTCCTAGAGGGAATTAATTGAACAGGTAATGATCAAGTGATCTCTCTTCTGCCATCCATCTCCATCATCTGACAAACAGAGGTTAGGGACACCATTCCTAGGGACACCATTCCTAACCCATACTGGCTAATAGCCATTAATGGACTTAACCTCCATGAATTTATCTAGTTCTCTTTTAAACCCTGTTATAGTCCTAGCCTTCACAACCTCCTCAGGCAAGGAGTTCCACAGATTGACTATGCGCTGTGTGAAGAAGAACTTCCTTTTATTTGTTTTAAACCTGCTACCCATTAGTTTCTTTTGGTGGCCCCTAGTTCTTACATTATGGGAACAAGTAAATAACTTTTCCTTATTCACTTTCTCCACACCACTCATGATTTTATAGACCTCTATCTTATCCCCCCCTTAGTCTCCTCTTTTCCAGGCTGAAAAGTCCCAGTCTCTAATCTCTCCTCATATGGGACCTGTTCCAAACCCCTAATCATTTTAGTTGCCCTTCTCTGAACCTTTTCTAATGCCAGTGTATCTTTTTTGAGAGAAGGAGACCACATCTCTACACAGTATGCAAGATGTGGGCGTACCATGAATTTATACAAGAGCAATAAGACATTCTCCATCTTATTCTCTATCCCTTTTTTAATGATTCCTAACATCCTGTTTGCTTTTCTGACTGCTGCTGCACACTGCGTGGACGTCTTCAGAAAACTATCCACGACGAATCCAAGATCTCTTCCCTGATTAGCTGTAGCTAAATTAGCCCCCATCATATTATATGAATAGTCAGGGTTATTTTTTTTTCCAATGTGCATTACTTACATTTATCCATATTAAATTTCATTTGCCATTTTGTTACCCAATCACTTAGTTTTGAGAGATCTTTTTGAAGTTCTTCACAATCTGCTTTGGTCTTAACTACCTTGAGCAGTTTAGTATTGTCTGCAAACTTTGCCACCTCACTGTTTACCCCTTTCTCAAGATCATTTATGAATATGTTAAATAGGACTGGTCCTAGGACTGACCCTTGGAGAACATCACTAGTTACCCCTCTCTACTCTGAAAATGTACCATTTATTCCTACCCTTTGTTTCCTGTCTTTTAGCCATTTCTCAGTCCATGAAAGGATCTTCCCTCTTATCCCATGACAACTTAATTTACGTAAGAGTCTTTGGTGAAAGTCAAAGGCTTTCTGGAAATCTAAGTACACTATATCTACTCGATCCCCCTTATCCACATGTTTGACCCCTTCAAAGAACTCCAATAGATTAGTAAGACATGATTTCCCTTTACAGAAGCCATGTTGACTTTTGCCCAGCAATTTATGTTCTTCTATGTGTCGGACAATTTTATTCCTTACTATTGGGACAATTTTATTCCTTACTATTGTTTCAAGCCTCTGTAGCCAAAATCTCACCCAAAATTCTCCAGGTCACACTGTGCTCACACGCTAGTGCTTGGCTTTCTTTCTTTTTGTCTCTGCATGTAGGTATTCTGTCTGTTCTCCGTTTCCATATGTTTTGCCTTCCATTGTGTACACACACAAAATGAACAATATTCAAAGCTGCTCTGCCTGCCTACACAGTCCAAATTCCTGGATTTTTCACAGTCCCCTTTTGTTTTAGATTGGAGGCTTCTGATTATGTAAATTGAAGGCTGTGTTTATACTCAGTTCAAAGAGGTTTGTGATAAGTGCAGTCACCAGTACCTCTTCAGCATAATGCTCCTTTCTTTTCCAGTAAAAACTACTCAAGTCTTAGAGCTAATTAACATTTTGTCGAACTGCTATACTACCTCTCATTCAGTAGCAGTGATCCTCTTGACATCATAATCAAGTGACAAATGCCTAGTGTAATTCTCAAGAAATCCTGCCTACTTTTAGCCATTGATGCAGCCAGGTTCGAACATGGCAATGCTTAAGGTTCTCTGTTAAATTAGTGCAGTCATTTATGATGACAGAATTGTCTAATGGTTAGGGAAGAAGGGAACCAACCCCCTTAAGATCTGACTTTCACTTTTTAAAAGATGCCTTTTTCATCTCTCACTGCTTCTTTTACATGGTTAAGTCACGGTGGCTCTTTTTACTTCTTCCACTATGTTTTTTAATTTGGGATATATATTTAAGTTGGGCCTCTATTATGGTGTCTTTGAAAAGCGTCCATGCAGCTTGCAGGGATTTTACTTTAGTCACTGTACCTTTTCATTTCTGTTTAACTAACCTCCTCATTTTTGCCTAGTTCCCCTTTTTGAAATTAAATGCCACAGTGTTGGGCTGCTGAGGTGTTCTTCCCACCACAGGAATGTTAAATATTATTATATTATGGTCACTATTTCCAAGAGGTCCTGTTATAGTTACCTCTTGAAGCAGATCCTGTGCTCCATTTAGGACTAAATCAAGAATGGCCTCTCCCCTTGTGGGTTCCTGTACCAGCTGCTCCAAGAAGCAGACATTTAAGGTATCAAGAAATTTTGTCTCTGCATCTCGTCCTGAGGGGACATGTACCCAATCAATATGGGGATAGTTGAAATCCCCCACTATTATTGAGTTCTTTATTTTGATGGCCTCTCTAATCTCCCTTAGCATTTCATAGTCACTATTACTGTCCTGGTCAGGTGATCGATAAGAGATGCCTACTGTTATATTGTTAGTAGAGCAGGGAATTACTATCCATAGAAATTCTATGGAACATGTTGATTCATTTAAGATTTTTACTTCATTTGATTCTAAATTTTCTTTCACATATAGTGCCACTCCCCCATCCGCACGACCTGTTCTGTCCTTCCAATATATTTTGTACCCCGGAATGATTGTGTCCCATTGATTGTCCTCACTCCACCAGGTCTCTGTGATGCCTATTATATCAGTATCCTCCTTTACTATGAGGCACTCCAGTTCACCCATCTTATTTTTTAAACTTCTAGCATTTGTATACAATCACTTTAAAAACTTCTCACTATTTATTTGTCTGCCCTTTTCTGATGTGTCAGATTCTTTTTTATGTGAATGTTTTACGTCTGATCTGGCCCATACTTTATCCTCTTCCATCCTCTCCTCCTGACTAAAATGTAGAGAATCTCTTTTATCTTCCTTCAGTCTCATGCCTCATTCATTATATGCCTTTCAACTGGATGAAGCAGGGATTCTGCTGACAACTTTCTTCTTCACAAAATCCTGATTCATCCCCAGAACAACTTTCTATCAAGCCATTGCCTTGCTCTACCTTGAAAGGATGTCAGATTGACATTTTGAAGGATCCTGTCTTGGACCCACAGGGCTCTGTTTTGCAAGAACTGGAAAGTAGACCATGCAACTGTTACATCAGAGACCTGACTGGGCTCTAAATAGATACTATTAATTGCTCTCTGGTAACATACTGTGGAATTCTGAAGTTTGTCCTAGGCTAGGGATTCCTCACTGGCTTCCAAGGCAGCTCTACTACTGTCAGGGAAATAGTCTTTTTGCTGCTCCTGCCTTTGTGTATAGAACTGTACTTGAAACTAGGTGTCCTGAAAATAATAACAGCGTAGTAGAAATAAAGATGATCAAGGGGGGAAAAAAGTAACAATGTGAAACAATTAGTAACAAAAAGTAACAATTATAATCAAGCGATACTATCAGGCAAACAAGAAAAGAGGAGGATTTTTGGAGAGTGAGGGTACAAGGGCTTAGGGAAGGAATAGAAATATCTTGACCACATTTTGAAAATAGTACCGGCACATCAGTTTGAGAAGTTGCATTTTGTAAGTGTAATCTATGAACAACAACACACAAAACCAAAAGAAAAGACAAAGTAACAACAGCCAGCTGTGAAGTCCCTGGAGTTTGTTTTAGAGCAGGTGTGGGAAACCTTTTTTGGGTTGGGTCGGTGATCGCACACAAGTGAAAAGCAAAAAAACCAAAAAACCTCACTGATTTGGCCCGACTGAGAAGAAATACACTCCCGACACTCCCAATCCACACATGAGAGCCTAAGAAGGCCAAGATAGTAGACTGTGTGAGCTCCAGCCCCATGGAGAGGTGGTGGCGGACTGGAGTGCCAGTGAAAGCTCCCCAATGCTGGAGGGGGGCCCTGAGCCAGGTAAACAGGGGGCTCTGAGCCAGGTGGGCTGCAGGTCATATTCGGCCCCCGGGCCTTAGGCTCCCCACCCGTTTTAGAGGAAAGCTTTGATCTTTCCCTTTTCTTGGCAAGATCGTGAATGTAAGAGAGAGGTTTCTTTTTATTCATTAAGTCCTTCTGGGTTCACGTGGGAGGAAGGTTGAGGTGGTACACATGGATTAATGCACAGTGGCCCATGTAGTGCGGTTCCAGACAGGCATAATAAGGGTTAAAGCAGCCAGGGGGAGGCTGTTGTACACCTAGTCAATTGGAAGGGGGCTTACTGAGCTAGCCAATAGGGAGAAAGCTTATTGGAACAGTCAATCAAAGCCAGGCTGGCCCATATAAAAAGGGCAGCTGAGCAGGGCAGAAGCAGTCTCTCCCTGGAGGACAAAGGAGGACTAGCAGTGAGAATAGGCACTGTTGCACCTGGTGTCACAAGATATTTACATACCAGATGCACTAAAGATTCATGTGTCTTCATGCTTCACCCACCATTCTGATGATGTGTCTATGACGATGACAGGCTCTGCTCAATAACAATCCAAAGCAGTGCACACAGACACATTCATTTTCATCATCATGAGTCAGATGTCACCACCAGATTGATTTTCTTTTTGAGTGGTTCAGGTTCTGCAGTTTCTGTATCAGAGTTGCTCTTTTCAGACTTCTGAAAGAATGCTCTACATCTCATCCCTTCTCAAATTTTGAAGGCACTTCAGATTCTTAAACCTTGGGCTGAATGCTGCAGCTATAGTTAGAAATCTCACATTGATACTTTCTTTGTGTTTTGTCAAATCTGCCATGAAAGTGTTCTTAAAACAAACTATAACATGAACTATATGGCAGAATGTGGATAAAACAGTCAGACATATACAGTTCTTCCCCCCCTCCCCCACCCAAGGAATTTAGTCATAAATTAATGCATTTTTAAACAAGCATCATCAGCATGGAAGTATGTCTTCTGGACTAAGGGCCAAAGCATAACGGAGCATACGAATGTTTAAAATATCTGGCACATAAATACCTTGCAATACTGGCTACAAAGGTGCCATGCAAACATTGGGCTATACCATCCATTTTAAACCCCTTCCTTTCTTCCATCCTCCTTCCCCATTCCTCTTCAGATATCTCTTAGGAGACTGCAGAGTCAATAAGTGCTTACACTCCTTCATTTAAGTGTGAGAGAATTCTCCCATCTCCTCAGAAGGAAAAGGGGTTTTACTGAAATTATTTTCTCATACAAAAAAACAACAGTGGGTGGAAACAGGGCTTGAAATGACTGAACAAACTCAAAGACTCAGAAGTTCAGGATGGAAACTAATTAAACCTGGCTAGGATTACATTATTGCAGTTACCTTAGATAAAAATACCTGTATTAAAAGTGGCACCAATGCAGACTTCTCCATATCACCAACTGGTCCAAAAGGACAGGAGACAAGATGACAAAGACCAAAAATACTTTTTCCTAATGCTGGTATTCCCACATACCAAAAACGGTGTGACCTAATTATACTATGAAATCACACATGATTTAGTTAACCTTGTCAAGCAGCACAGAGAGAAAAACTACAAACAATTGAATTTAACTCCATATTGGACGAAAGCTGCACATTAACACCTCCACAGTACCCTCCACTGACAGGATAAGCTTGCTCCCCTGCCTCAACATGGAAAGGGATTTGTTGAACTTGCCTGTTTTCTGTTCACTGCAACAGGAACTCGCAAGTTCCTACTCCTGCTGTTTGGGGACTCTCTCTTTTCACTAGATTGTTATTTCAGTGTAACTAATCTCTATGCAGGATATGTTAGTGCTGGCACAGGTCAGCAGTAAGGCAGCAGTTAACAGATTAAATGCTTTTGATGACATTAAATATACAAGAAAAAACTTACATACTTCACAAAATTGTTTTGTTTAAAGGGGGAAACATGCGGAGGGAGGTGTCTTGGCCAAAATCAACATGCAAGGCTGTACATTCACACCTACAGGACAGATGACGCCGAAGGGGAAATAAGAGTACATAGATGACTCCATATACCTAGGGGCAAGCCTGTCCTTAAGTTTCAGTTATTCAACCACAAACACAATTACCTCAAAGATCAAAATACACAACCACTTTTACAACAAGCAGAAACTTATCACAGAATTAAATAGTTCCTGCCCTGGATTTTTGCTGTATAGGTTTGTCTGGATTTGCCAGTTTTCAATCCTATTTTCTGTTAGTTAAGTACAGCAATCCCATTTTTCCAAAACATTACAGGGCCAATAAAACATTCAGTTAGATTAGTCTCCAAACTATCCAACTCTTCAATTAACGGGTAAGCAATTCATCTGGCTTGTTCAGAGTGCAGAGGAGGAATAGATTTGAATAAGTCAGCATTTCTGGTAAACAGGTCTTGGATAAATGGGGCTGTAATATTGCTGTAAGAATAACTTGTGGCTGAATGCATGATAATACTTTACAGTACAGTAAAACTCCAATGGTCCAGCATCTGATGGTCTGGCACTCCTGATGGTCAGGCACCATCAGGAACCCGGAAGTGCTCCGGGCAGCCGGACCATTAGAGCTTCTCTGCCCCCAGCTTCCCCAATTCAGCCACTGCTAAAACTGACCAGTGGCTGAATCGGGGAATCCGGGGGCAGAAAGCTGGAGTGCTGCCAGGTAGGTCCCGTAGCGCTGCCCCTTGGGGCTGCGGGACCAACTCGGCAGCACCCCAGCTGTCCCCGATTCAGCCGCTGCTGAAATTGACCAGCAGCTGACTCCAGGAAGCCCGAGGCAGAGCTGCTCTGCCCCAGCTTCCTGGAATCAGCCGCTGATCAGTTTCAATAGCAGCTTCTTGCACAAGAAAAA